AGGATTATTAGACTTGGTCATTATAAGGAGGATGCTAAATGTACCGAAGTTGTTGTTGTTTAATAGGATTATTAGACTTGGTCATTATAAGGAGGATGCTAAATGTACCGAAGTTGTTGTTGTTTAATACGATATTATCATACTTGGTCATTATAAGGAGGATGCTAAATGTACCGAAGTTGTTGTTGTTTAATACGATATTATCATACTTGGTCATTATGAGGAGGATGCTAGATGTACCAAAGTTGTTGTTTAATACAATATTATCATACTTGGTCATTATAAGGAGGATGCTAAATGTACCGAAGTTGTTGTTGTTTAATACTTTTTAAATGTTTTTTTTGACAGCACATAACAATCTTCCTCCATTGTTTGAAAGGTACATCGTACTTGCGCTTTTTACTACACACACACACACACACTGTCAAAATGGCGAAATTGTAAATGACTACTTAACACACTGGAAGGACTTTAAACACAAGTTTTTGCTAATGAGTCTGATGGCTCAGGCATCGGAAAAACATACTGCCCATGAATTGTAAATACATAATTTCTGTTTATAGAAAATTAAGGTAAACATGACATTGAAGTACACCTGAAATATAGTTCGGTTAAGGATTCTGTTAATGTTATAGAACAAAAAACTTAAGTTAAACAGTAACGGACAACATACATACGTATCAAAGTTAAACAAGAGAAAAAACGGAAGTTAAGTTTTATTGTTATTACCTGGAGAAACACATCAGGTGGTAACTGTGCCTGTGGAAAAAAAGTTAGTTAAGAGAGGATGTCAATAACAGATACATACATACTGCTTTTAACTATAAGAAATCGTTAACAAAACACCTCTTTTGACAGAAACGTGTTAAATAAGTTATTTCATGCAATTGATAATACCCAGATTTTTAGTGAAATTAGTTATATAAAAGTTAAGGATAGCAATTAGTAGGGAAAAAAATCATGCATCGAAACTAGGAATATAAAATTATCATATATTTGAGAAAGGTAGAGGTTAAGACCATTAAATTTAGTAAGATTACACACAGCATGTCAAAGCATTAAGACACATTTAAAGAAAGAAAAAAAACAAAAAACTTATAATAACTTGATAAAACTGAATACTAATTGAACATCGGTACAGGTTAAGTTACATAAGGAAGTTGTATGTATTCATTTGAGAAGATAAATGTTACAAAAATAAAAACCAGGATGAAACATGTGTTAAGTACGTTCATAACACTGAAGCAGGAGTGCTGGATTTTTTCCAAGATGTCTTCAAGTTTCACAGTTGCGCACATCAAGCAGTTGGGTCACTTTGACAGTAAACTTTACACATTTGTGTTTTACGGAGTACGGTTTGTTGGTGTGCGCGTTCGGTGTTGTATACCTTACAGTGAAGCTTCATTAACCCCTTGAGCTATTAATGAGGGTTCTTTCACCTCATGAGGGTGCAACACACACAAACTACGTAGCACTATATGTACGTATAAGATAATAAAATATATGGGCGGCCATATTTTAGTTAAGCCTAGTTTGTTTGTATCAAAGAAATGAACGCGTACTGTAAAATGTGAATTTGTTTTTGTTTTAAGTGTAAAGCTACACAGTGGGATATCCGCGAAGCGTCCAACGCAGTGATCGAACTAGCGTTATAAGTCCTTAAGGTCACCGCTGAGCTAACAAGGACCACAATATGTCGGTATTTCAATAATGCGACTGAACCGTACTTCCACGTAATTAACGACAAACAATGCGAAGTATTGATCACATACATAATAGGTCTTGATAACAACACGATTTGGTGCATAACATGTAATACAAGAAACGAGGTAATTTTCGTTACAAATTTAAAATATTTACAAACTTTCGTCTCTGCGAAAACGTAGCCCATCTATTGCTAATTGCATTCTTAAGTTTATTTGTAATAAACAACAACACGGAAAACGTTCTTTCCTGTTTCTGTCGTACGAAATGTTTGTTCTTCTTAAGCTACTTTTATGGAGTAAGCCACGTGTGTAAACAGAGAGAGAGAGAGAGAGTATGTGGGCGAACCGGATATTTAAATAGATTTCTTTCGTCGAGGTACTTGTACAAACCAGTACAAACGAACTATTCGGGGATTTTGGAAGAAAGAATGCTCTCAATCATTCAACAACCAAGGACTCAATCACCCACTACCTTGACGGCTCTCAATACACGTTTACAACTTCAACTACGTTAGGTATGTTAATCCAACTTTACAACGATACACCATTACTACCGTGATGTCCACATTCTTCTTCTTCATCATCGTGATTCGGTCCATGTTTTGGACCAGGGAGGGTCAGGTTCAGCGTTGACCTCTTCCTCCCTTGGTGTCGTCCACTTTGACCCTTTGATTGCGGCTGCTTTAAATGCACGCGGAATTTTTGCAAGCCGTACACTGTATGCAGCACACTCGTATTCTACTGCCGAAGGCGGACCGTACCCTATACGGCGAATCAGTAATTAATGGGTTACGACTATGAAGTAACACCAAAACCAGTTAGAACTGAATGGAAAAATGAAGTAGTATCTGAGGTATCATATACATTCCGATTGGGTATATAACGAAACGGCTAAAAACAGTTAGTTTGTTCTGCCGGTTCGTATAAATATCCTCAAAACATAAAGATACGTATATTTAGGAGGTTCGTAAAAAGAAGCCTCAAAACATAAGGTTTTCCTAAACTAACTCTAGAGTGAACAATGGCAACACATCAGTAGAAATTTAACATTAAGTTCAGACTGTGGATCCGAAGCTCGGTGGCTTGCGCCCTCTTACGGCCAAAACAAAATCGCGCTTCGCACTGTCGAGCCGTCGGTGCGTTATAAGAGTGAGAGTCAAATCCCATTATTCGATTAGTGGAAGCCCACGAGTTGACAAGTTTTAGTTGATCTTGAGTGTAGACATTTACAAATCACAGCTCTATTTCCAAGTTATTCACAGGAGTTTAAAAATACTTATTAAAAAAAATTTGATGTAATTAGTGGGTCAGTTCTCACTCATAGCAATCTTAGAATTACGGTATGTACAATTGGAAACCATATGTGTTACATAAACATCTAACACTGCCGATATAAGACGCTCCAATCTAATTAGCGAGTTCCTTGCTGTGGCATAGACAGACAGACTGCAGTAAAAGGGGTGCTACTTGAAAAGTCTACTTGTGCCCATTTCGTTGGAGAGGCTCTGCACTTGAGGAAAGTGTTTGGAACAAAGGCAGTCCTTTATCCCGGTATGGCTCTAACGGTGTAGTAAACACTGACCCTCCAAACAGAGCAATTCAATGTGTTTGTAATTAATATTCAATATGACATTAAACTTTTTTTTCTCTTATAAATACTTGTTTCGCTGAAAAGCTGTACAGAATACAGTAAGTTACTACCATCAAAAAAGAATGACAGAAGTATTTGGTATTTTCAGCCTGAACGGCACATTATAACAGGTTAGAGAGACTCCAAGGTTTAAGCATAGCCGACCCTAATTTAGAACTGATGACCAGTAAGAAAGCATGCGCTGCTCATACGGCTACTCTTACTAGAATAACGGAATTAATTGCTACCTTTATAACGACCCCACACCTGAAAGTGTGGAGTTGGTTAAGTGTCACACTGTGGGCTCGAACCTTGGAACTTTCAATCAGCAACCCGACATAATATTTTTTTTTAAATTGTACGTTCGTTGCATAAGTAGTTTTAAAATGTCATTTGATATTTTTTAAACGATATGCGTCGTCTAATTTTTGTTTTCGTTATTCTTGTTTTACCCATTCAATTATTTTAATAGAGTAACTTTTCATTACTTATTAGAAGTCTTGGATAAATAGCGTATTTCATTCCGTAAGTATGTATCAGGGAGAAGGGGGCATACTGGTTCCATCATCATATTTCGTTCTCTCTCTCTTTTACAAAACAAGAGGGAATCCTCAATATCCGCGGCACTTGAACTTCTTTTAGGCAGAATTAGAGTAAATTAATCCATGAGACCTTTATTTTTTATTAGCTATATTTTTGCGCGCCAGCAATACCAAGCATGAGGCGCGCGTATACCCGATTCGATTTTTCTACTCATCAGGATTTCTACCAGCCTACCCTCAAATTGAAATTCTTTTAGGCAGAATTAGAGTAAATTAATCTATGAGACCTTGGGAGCGATCAAATACATCAATCGAAAGGGTTTGATCTCCTCAGTCCAAAACTGTAATTAGATTTCAAATCGCTCAAGAGATGACAGAGCTATGAGCTAAAAGTTTATACTTGAAAAACCCAGAGCCGTTCTATGAGCCGCTATGCCGCGGCTGAAAATATATGTATAAATAAATGCCTAATACCACAAACAAATACATCAAACAATTTCGACAGTGTTTAGTGTTTGCGCTGAGTAACAACTATTCCACATGGAGTTGAAGTCACCATGACCGTAGTCACAACTAATTCAACATTTAACGTCTTTAATGAGCATGACAGCCACTGAACACATTTATTATCACACAACTGATATTTTAAAATAAAATCAAAGTTATCCGAGTGCTTCGCAACTGAAATGTAAGGTAGCGATGTGACACATTGGAGCTTCCCCAAACAAAAATTAAATTCACAGTTTTCATAGTAACACGACACAGTTACTTGAAATAAGAAACTTCATCAACAACAGGTAAATGTGTAGTCGATGTGATTATACTGAGGAAGGACAAAACAAAATACAATAAGAAAAAGTATACAAAAAAAAACAATTACCGTATGCAGTGCTGCAGTGGTTGATCGTGGCTTGGATGATGCTACGTAGGCAAGGTACTGTATAACTTTTTTAGTGTTTTCTGTTTTCCCTGCTCCGGACTCGCCTCTGTTCAAAGGAAGGAACACACACACACACAGACATATATATATATTATATATGTATAGTACTTTTATTTATTAAACAATACAAACAATAAATAAGAAGTAATATTTCTTTGATTTATATAAATTAAATGTGTATATGTTATCTTATAGCAAAGCCACAGCGAGCTATCTTCTGTATCCACCGAGGGGAATCGAACCCCTGATTTTAGCATTGTAAATACGAAGACTTACCGCTGTCGCACTAGGATACAGATAAATTAAAACTGATTTATTATTTATATTACATTTTCAGATGATTTGAGGCAGAACAACATATATTACTTAATCCGTGATGTGTTTCTGTGCTGTCCGAGAATGATTTGTTTCCAGTTAAAATAAAAATGTAGTTAGTTCATTAGCTGTAACAGATACAAAATGGGTGTTTCCAGTTAAAATAAAAATGTAGTTAGTTCATTATCTGTAACAGATACAAAATGGGTGCTTCCAGTTAAAATAAAAATGTAGTTAGTTCATTAGCTGTAACAGATACAAAATGGGTGCTTCCAGTTAAAATAAAAATGTAGTTAGTTCATTAGCTGTAACAGATACAAAATGGGTGTTTCCAGTTAAAATAAAAATGTAGTTAGTTCATTATCTGTAACAGATACAAAATGGGTGCTTCCAGTTAAAATAAAAATGTAGTTAGTTCATTAGCTGTAACAGATACAAAATGGGTGTTTCCAGTTAAAATAAAAATGTAGTTAGTTCATTAGCTGTAACAGATACAAAATGGGTGTTTCCAGTTAAAATAAAAATGTAGTTAGTTCATTAGCTGTAGCAGATACAAAATGGGTACACTACCATTGTTTGGTTGTGAAACACAAACTAGTAAACTATTTTATATAAAACAAATAATACTATTATTATTGTTGTTGTTGTTAAATCTGAATCTGAAAATGTTTGTTTTTCCTAAACATCTAAACATTTTCTTTCTCTGCTCCTACAGAACCATTACAATATCAAGATGTAAGAAGATCAATATTTAATGGCTGTTTTCAGTTCAGATAGAGATATTGAGAATAAAAATTAACTCACGTGCATAGGATGGACTGATCCTCTCGATCTGAAACGAAGAAGAAATAGGTTAGCTTCTATTATAAAAACATGATACTTCATGAGTAACTCACGTTCGTTACTTGAGATGTTCTGAGCAGTGCAATGTTCTGGCCATTGACCACGAACCGAGTATATCTCGTAATCCAGGTATGATCTTTATGCGTGCATCATTACAACAATGTAACATCTAAAATTTAGGTGAAATATTTCTGGACCAAAGCCTCCTCCCATAACAAGCTATTAAAAAAATAATGAAATAAAAAAGTTTACAAATTAATTTTAAGTGCCCTAGTTTCGTGCATGCAATGTGACTCAAACCAGAGTGATACGTTGTAGTTTCAATTTAAATGTTCTATCCTGATGTTTATCATGTGCTACAGGTTTAGTCGCACCTATATGTAACCCTAACGAAGAAATATCTACCTTTCGAAAGCACTCGAGTTATAAGGTTTTTACTTTTGTAATTTGTAGAGCATACGCGTTTTTGTAACATCATAACTATGTGTACAATGCAATACAAATCTGTGTGCCAACAGGATTTCTTCTTACCTATGCTATTGTAATGGTAGTCTACATAATGCAGCGTAATTCGGCATGTCGACAAAGTTTAGACTTTTGAAAGATCTATTTAGTTAATGATTCTTTTATTTGGTAAAACATTAGTTCCCCTTCTATTTTACAGTCGTTCATTGTTCACTGTACGTGCATTTGTAGTTATCGAATAACAATTTGTAGTTGTTAAATTAAAAAAATATATCAAAACAATTGTATTTGTTTAATAACTCGCAATACATGATTCAGTTTTAACTGCAAAAGGTATACGGCGTGGCTAAATGGTTATCGTGCCAGACAGTGAATCTGGACATCCATGGTTCGCGCTCAGTTGCCACACAGTCAACTCCAACATTCGGGTTAAAGAAGCCAGCGCGTGAGATGTTTTTTTTTAACTGGTTGCCCTCCTTCCGGTCAGAAATTCTAAATTAGATACTTTGAGGCCGTTTATCCAAAGAGTCGTATAAGGTCATTATTCAGGTGTAAATTACCAAATACCGAATCTTAGCCCTGTCACTAACAGCATCGAAATATATATATATAACGATACATGTATTGTTTTGCAAGAGGAACAGAAGTGTATACACCTTGAAATACTGAATTAAAAGCAGCTGACAACAAACTGCAAGCCATAACAACACAGCTTAGTTAACGTGTTAAATATTTTACAGGTGTGTTTTTATTCCTCTGTATGCATGTTAGCACAGAAAGCTATTTTCTTACTGAATGTTAACAGAAGAACAGCAATCACGATGTCGAGTTTCGGCTTTACCTTATTTTTTCTTTTTTTTTATTTATTCTTTTACTTATTTTCATTTTCTTAACTCTCTGTTTCTCCTCTGAGATCTAATCATAACAGCCACATGTGTACTAAGGTTAACTGATAGATTAACTTTTCTTAAGCTTAGTCAAAAAAGCACGTATTCATTTTTTACTAACTGAAAACATCTATAAATGTAAGCATTTAATTGCCACATACACCAACAGCAAAAAAAATTACATAGCCTGAACTGTAAAATGCATTGTAATCGACTTTTAGAACGTGCACTTATATCCAAAGAGAAGTTAAAACACAACACACGTCAAAGTATCTATACTATTATTCTGCTTGTTTGTATGTACGACCGTTACGCTTTCTGACCGAGAACCTGCTGCATAAGCATGCGTAGTTAGAATGTTTCCTCAAGAAAAACA